ACTAAGGATCTGATCCTCCTGGGGCGCTAAAATGTTGGGTGGCACTATTAACTACTCTTTCTTTGTAAGCGGTATTCATTTGTGGTGCTTGATTGGTTATGTGTCTGTATTGTAACATATTGTGTTTGTAATATATGAAATGTATATCAAATTCTTAGGTCATTTAAAGCAAGATATTACAATTGATTAGATAAGTATTTTTCTAATCTATGCATTATCTTTTTAGATTTTAATATTGAATTGGGGAGAATCCTGGAAGAAAATAGAGACTGAGAAAATGGTGTAATGGGGAAACAAGTTGTGATTGAAACACACTGGGTTTGAACTGGAATGAGAAAAATTGCTGGTGAAGATTGGAAAAAGTTCTGCCGGCAGTAAAATGCTCTTAGCTTTATCCATTCCTAAAAAAAAAAACAACCCGATATGATATGCCATGAAAATCTGACTCCATTGTAACAAAAACAACAATATTGGAAAATAGCGATTGGCTTGTTTGTGTTTTTTTTATGTTTTTTATGTTCTTTTTATCATACTCTTTGGTGGCTAAACAGACAGTTGCTGCTTTGTGTAGTTGCGAACTGACAAAAAAAAAAATAATATTCCAGGAAGGAAAGAAGCCACATCCTGGATAAACATTTGTCTGCACACCTACGGAAAACAATTAGAAGCTCGCTTTTCATCACAGAGCAATGCTGGGGGTTAGAAACGCAGATTGTTGGAATTCATGTTGATTAATCATCCGCAGACACCACATAATAATATTACGACCTTGTGTGGCGTCAGGATACGTGACACTGCATGCTCATCCCATCAATTTAGAGAAAGTTAAAAAAAATATTAATAGTATTAATAAAACAAACAAAAAAATGTTTTTATTTAAAATATGCTTACATTGAAAAAATAAACTATAAATAATTGAACATTTATAAATATACCTAATATACCAATATCCATAGACATACCTAATATACATAAAGATAGATAGATAGAAAGATAGATAGATAGATAGATAGAACAATAGATGTGAATAAATTAAATATTTATAATTGGATCTTATATTACATTTAGCCAAATAAAAACAAAACTACAAATTAGTTAAAATACTCAAAAAAAAATAATAATATATATGGCTTATATAAAATCGTATTAAATCTGTCACTGTGCACATACAGTATATAAATGTTGGTGAAAAGTTTTACATTTCCCCAACGTATATTTTTTTGGCACACTGAGTATCTTTCTGTAACAGTTTACAATGTAATTGTTGATGCCCAAAGCATTATAACATTAAGGGAATTTCCTTACGGTAAGAAAGAACTAACAATTAGTCACACCTTAATTTTCAGTACCATCCCAACCTAAAAAGGAACAGTCATATTCTAATGCCACCCATGATGATAGTTCCCTTTGAATTTATGTTGTGCACCTAACAATTCACACTATACCGCAGACCTCCCAACAGTTCTAATTTTAGAGGGTCAGTCCGGGTTTTGGAGTCCCGTCCCGCCATCCCGATTTTGTACCCTTGTGTGCAGTATTCAGGGACTCCAGGAAACTGTCCGAGGGGTAGCACAGTGTGAGCGAATTATTGGATGCACTCGGCCTGTGAACTGACATTAGGACCAAGCAGAAAGCGTGCGTTAGCAGCGCTCTCTGCATTGGTCCTGGTGGCTTGGGGCTGACTAAAGCGAGAACCGTTGTGAATTCAGAGTGATTTTCAAATTTAAGGTTAAGCTGGAAGCATAGCAGACTTAGAGGCTATTTTGCATTTAATATTGAAATTCACTTAGAGTTCCTGACAATTCTCATTTTTGTGAATACCTTTGTGTACTTTTCTAGGTTTCATGCCAGTCCTTCCAGAACTGTTTTGTTGTTTGATGTAGAAACATGCACAATGTCCTCGAATTCATTTGATATTGGATTGGCAAACAACAGATATTTTAACATTGGGTACACCCCCCCTTAAAAAAAAAAAATGATATTTTTCAGGGGACAAGTTTACTATAACCTAATGTCTATTTCCCTATGATGTGGGGTAAGGGGATCATAGTGTGTAGAAAACGTCACGGATGATTAATAGTATTATTATTATTAGGATTTAACACCAACATGTACAATAGGTGGATTAAAAAACAAATCATTGCAACAGGACAAGTTTGACATACAGGAACAAAAGGTGGTGACGACCTGTGCAAACAAGCTTACAGTCTAAGCTTTATTGCCTTTTGTTATAGATTTGATCTTATTAGCTACTCCAACTCTACTAGGCTATATGTATTATAATATATCTTTTTATATAATATTAATAGATATATTTATTCAAGTAGGGAAGGTATAGCAAATTAGATATATTGATATTGTACTAGGTAAAGCAACAGGTGTTAATATCTGACCTCACTCCATGGCATTTACAAACTAAATTATGTTGTCACTAAACTAAAAATATAGCAATGCTATGTGTGTAGATTACTGAATATATTTACCATCACTGAGACAATGCACTTATTGTGCCTTTTTTACGATAAAAAAAAAAAACAACAAAAAAATTATTTTTTTGGAGGGGGCATTTTCTATAACAGGCTTTGCAAAACTGCAGCTTATGAGCCACATACGGCTCTTTCAATGGCCCAATGCAGCTCACAAAACGTTTCAAGGCCAGCAATACCAGAACATGGCACAGGTGGCCGCCTTAGGGTGCACCTGCCCAGGAGAGCACAGGATCTGGCTGACCGGCAGAAGTGGAGCACACTGCACAGCACTCCCTTCCTGTTTGGTGGTTCATTGTCGTGTGGCCGAGCTACAGACCACAGTAACGGAGCTTGTTTCCTTCTACCCAGTCTGACAGGAAGTACAATGAGAGTGCCAAACTGCTTCCTGCCAGACATGGGAGAGGGAAACAAGCTCCTCTACCGCATTCCGCGGCTAGGCCATGCTACACAGTGGAGGTAAGTTGGCACATGGGTCTAGAGGTGGTAAGACACATAAAGGAGGGAGTGGAGGAAATGAGACACATGGAAGGGCTAGGGGAATGAGAGGAATGAGATACATGGGGGCTGGGGGAATGAGACACATGGGGCGCTGGGGGAATGAGAGGAATGAGACACATGGAGGGGCTGGGGGAATGAGAGGAATGAGACACATGGAGGAGCTGGGGAAATGAGACACATGGTAGGGAGGGGATGAAACACATGAATGGAGGTGCTGAGGGGGAATGAGACACATGGAATGAGCCATATTTGCAAAAAATAAATCTTATTGCGACTCTTGAATATTTCTAAATATTCTCATGAGGCTCTTACACATAGGAAGTTTGGCCACCCATGTTCTATAATTCATTTTTTATATTTTTTGTAGGCTTTGCCAAGTCTATTAACCCATCTCACAAATATTTATAGTATTAATTCTGAAAAAATAATATTTTTTCATATTAAATATGTTTACATTAAAAAAATACAAAATAATACTAATAATTCAACATAGATAAATATACATGTATATAAACTGATAGAAAATATAAATGTAAAAAAAACTATTTTTAATCAGATAATATATTATATTCACCAAAATACAAATTGAACTAGTAGAAAATAGTTCATTCAAATTCTCTTAAAAAATAAAAATGTATATTTATCATCAATAAATGGTATTAAATCTGTGCCCTGTCACTAAACGCAGAAACGCATAAATGTAATTGGTTGTGAAAAGATACTTTTTTTTTTGTATTTTTTGTAAGTGTATTCTATAGATCTCCAATGTGATAATAGGGCATAGAATTAATGCAAAGGATTTCCAGCTGTATGTAGATCAATATTTAGTCCCGATTGTGTGTAAATGGTGATTTATTCAGCCAAACCTTCCTCTAATGCAAATGTAATGTTTATTCTGAAACATGAATGGACTAACCCATCCTGCTTGATAGTGTAGTAAGTTCCATTCAAACACATTCTCTTCCAGGAAACTCCCCAGCCTCTATCTAACTGTCTTCCTGGTCTGTGATTTGTTCCGCTAAATGTCTTGGCCTGTTTATTTAGAAGGAAAAGGAAATTCTGGCTGACTCTAGAGAGTTGTTTCACTAAATAGTGATTTGAAATGTATATTTCAAGATTTAGGGAAAAACTGATGAGTTTGAAAAAATTATCCAAGGCAGAGACTATTTCTCACTGTTTCATAAATCGACTCAGTAGGAGAAAAACATGGAGAGAGGAGACAGAGAAAATAGAAAGACTGACTAGGTTATTCACTAACGTGTGACTTGTTGGGAATTCAAAAGTGATTTCAAGGTGAATATACACACCTCCATAAATTGGGAGGTTTAAAATTGAGACATGTGCGGGGCGTTGCTAGTGAAAGGGCTATCAACCTGGTGTCAAGCATGTCTCTCGGCCGACCCCCCCACTTACAGGATCATGCAGAGAGCACTTTCCATATGTTACTAGTGCCAGCTGCATAGCACAAGTGCGTCTAAGGATGTGCTCACACTATACTGCTGTGGGACAGATGCGGGACACCAGGGAACTGATTCGGGATGGCGGGATAGGACCCCGTAATTGGACTATATTATCAAAAGCAGGACAGTTGGAAGCCCTTAATTTCTAATTTTAGGCCATATTTGCAAAATTTACAAATCAGCAAATAGACCATGAATAGAGAGTGCAAGATGGCGAAATAGAGACTTAGGGGGAAAGTGATGTAATAAAAGTGGATGAGAGTGAGAGAATATAAACAAACCTTTGAAGAGAGGAGGATGGAGACTGCGTCCGGAAAGCTAAAATAATTTCCATTTAAAAAAGGGTTAGAGAGTAGACGTGCATTCGGCCTTAGTGTGTTTGACCCATAACTTTGAAGTAATGTCAAGTCTACAGATATATTCATTTTGTTTATATGGTTTTTGGTTTTGTCCAGGTAGAATTCCCAGAAGCCTTTGTTCTTCCTTTGGACTGACCTTAAGTTTTCAGAACACCTGACAAATCAACCTAACAACAGAAAATGATCGGAATGTGATGAAAGACTATTATCTCGTCGGGGCGGAGCCTAACCTCGGAGGAAGATGGACGCCTGATCCCACAGCTCCCTCTCCCCCAGGCACAGAACCAGCCATCATCCGCATCACACACGGCCCAAACACCCTCCAAACAGCCCCCAGGCGACCACCCAGCATCAGGCTCCACAATATGGGCGGCGGGAAGAAAAGGAAAGAAGAGCTCACCCCGTCGGTAGCCTCCATGTTCCGCACGCCGGGGGAATCCCAGAGGCCTACCCACTCCTATCAAGGAGCTGATCAAGGTACTGACTCAGAGGGGCCCGATCCCACACTTGACCCCTCGACCCCCCTCACCATCGGGAGCCTCAGGGACATGCTAAAGGAGGCCACAGTGGACATAAAATCCCACGTGGCAGAAGAGATCACTAGAAATTTAGCAGGCCTCAGAACAGAAATACAGACACTGACTGCCCGCACAGACCAGACAGAGGTACGTCTCACTGCACTGACAGCTACCTCCACCTCGCAGTCCCAGGAAATCTCCTACCTCCATGGCCGCCTCACGGCCATGGAGGACAACCTGGAGGACCTTAACAACAGATCACGGAGGAATAACATCCGAATCCGTGGCCTGCCCGAAGCAGTCCAGCCAGAGACCCTAAGCACCACCCTGAAAGATATCTTTTCTGCAATGGCACCCGAACTACCGCTGCCACTCCTGGAAATGGACCGGGCTCACAGAGCACTACGACCCCCAAATCTGAACCTCTCTACCCCAAGAGACGTAATTATCCGCCTCCACTACTTCCAAACCAAAGAAAAACTAATGCAACTAGCCAGAAACCGCCCTCCCAAGTATAAAGACGTCCGCCTAACCTTCTTCCAGGACTTGGCCCCAACTACATTAAAGAAGAGGAGAGATCTAAAACCCCTCACCTTGGCCCTCCAAGAACAGGGGCTAAAATACACTTGGGGCCACCCCTTTAAACTGCTGGTCAAAAAAGGCGACCAAACCCATATCCTCACCACAGCCGCAGAAATGGGCCCGATGGCGGACTCTCTAGGAATTCAGCTCCAGAATCCCACACCACTAACGGGATACAGGGGAAGAGACCGCTCCAGAGACAGGGCTGCATCCCCGCATCCGGCCAAACAGAAAAGACCCCCCCACGCCATAGAAGACAACACCGCTGCTAGACGTCAAGGGGAACAATCCCCGCCGCACCGCTCAGGCCGCTAGAAGTACAGGACGGACGCCAAATAAGAGGAACTTAACCACGAAGAATCAGCCCCATGGATCCAGAACCAACAGCAATGAGAACCCCAAGCCCATGGCAACCCCCCCTCAGGGGCACACCCCGAGATAAAACCAAGAGGTCCCCCCTCGACACTCTCAAACATCCCCCATACAAGAACTGACCCGCACCGCACTACCGGACCGGTACCCCTTTGAAACCATCACGGACACAGCTTGACCCTCATAACAACACCAGAGGAGAAATCACCAACACACGGCACCGAGCCCTGACCACCTTACACCCAACGGACCCAGTGAAATACATCCCCACTCCAAAACCGCCTCGGATCTGAAGAGAGAACCAAACGAAAAATACGTGAACTCTAGAGACATTACTCTTGCAATCTTCTACACTGTAGAACATGATTACCACAAGGGTAATGGGGGATAAGGCAGAGAAGGAGAGACAAGACTGACCACGTAGGGCCTAGTAGCAAGAAGAAAGAGGGTGAATCACACTCCAGACTAGATGGACCACTAGACACAATAACACTCACTACACCCTCCCAGACTAAGGACACCACACACACATAACACTGACACTGATCATACAATGGACAAGACAACAGCAGGATAGGGGGGAAGAAAGAGTGGGACGAAGACGAAACCGGGTTTTTAAAAAAGAAACGTAGAAGGGGAGGAGAGGGGGGATAGAATTAAGTGAAAACCCACACAAGGCACATCTAGGCAGTTACCCAAGATAATTAACTTCCCTGGAAGTCAACACACAGGTTAAGCAGAGGCAAAAACCACAGTTATTACAAAATGTTAATGTTTTTCTTGTATATATGTTAATATATTTTCTTTCTCTTCCAAGCGAACCTCACAAGTGACAACACAGACTCACATATGACACAGAAGAAAGAAAGACCGAAAACGGAGCATCCCACCCCGTACCAATAAACCACCTTAAGAATAGACACAACGAACCGACTAAGAACCCACCGACCAACCGTGAGTGATACACTGGCAATTGTGCAGGGGGAGAGAGGGTACCGGGAATGTGAAAAACCTTCCTCCTCTCTCCCTCACCACAACCCACAGTACCCCCCACAAGGGGACCACACCACACCTACCCCAACCCTTAAGGCACCACATACAACCCCCCCAACACCACCTGGCGATCCTATAGTAAGACCAGGGCACACCGTCACCCCGTTCTTCACCCCTTTTTAGATACTAAAACCCCACAACCCTTACCTTTACCCCACTCCCCACAACCCCCCCCTCCCCCCCCCGGAACCAATCGGGCGAGAAACCCTGGGTCCTTCGCAATCTAAATCACTAAACAGACCCACACCCCCAACCAATTTCAGCACAATGAAGTGCATTTCACTCAACTGCAAAGGCCTAAACAACCCAGCTAAACGCCACCAGCTGATGCGCTGGGCCAATAGAACGGGAGCAGACGTAATACTCCTCCAAGAAACACACTTTGAGACCTCGAGACCATTCCCACTCAGAAACAGACACTACAAAGAATGTCACTTAGCAAACTCCCCAACCGGAAAACGTAATGGAGTGGCAATACTCATCCGGAACACATGCCCCATCAGCTTCACAAACACTATAGCTGACCCGCAAGGCAGATTTCTCACTATAACAGGACAGCAAGGCACTCACAAATACGCGATCACTACACTATATGCCCCCAACAACCCAGACCCGTCCTTCTGGACAGCCATCCAGGCCCACCTCAAATTGTTCCCCTCCCACCACATGATCACAGGGGGGGACTTTAACGCGGTCATCAACCCCCAAACAGACCGACAACGACAACCCACACGTACTGGTAAAACTACCCCAGCAGCCAAAATAGACAAACTACTCTCGAACTTTGTACTCCACTCAGGTCTCCAAGATGTATGGAGAATGCAAAACCCCACAACCCTCGACTTCACTTTTTATTCTCACCCTCATCTCTCATACTCTAGGATTGATATGTTCCTGATATCCCCGTCCCTCCTAACCCAAGACATTACAACATCTATAGGCACGATCACGTGGTCCGACCACGCAGAGATAACCCTAACACTCTCAATTCCACAAACAGCTAGAACATGGTCATGGCGACTAAACCCAACACTCCTACACATCCCTGAAATAAGGGCGTCCACCCAAACGACACTCACAGAGTATTTCCAACTCAACAAGGACTCAGTAGAATCCACAGGCATATTATGGGCAGCACACAAAGCGACCATAAGGGGCAAACTAATAGCGGAGGCCACAAAACACAAAAAGCAAAAATTGCAGGAACTGAAGGACCACCTCCTCTCGCTGAGAGCCCTAGAGATTCAACACAAACAACACCCAACCCCACCGATCTTAACACAGATCAAAATCCACCAACAAGCCATCAAATCCTACATGGCCAAAGATTCACAAAGAGCCCTCCAATGGAGTAAACAGCTCTTTTACGAAAAATCAAACAAGGCAGACACCCTCTTAGCCCGTAAACTACGCCAAAAAACACACAATAAACGCATTACTAAAATAAACTCCCCGAGAGGAAGCACACACGAAAGCCCGGATAGTATAGCGAGGATTTTCTCCCAATACTTCACAACACTTTATAATCACAACCCCGATCCATCGCCAACTCTAACACATGACATCGAGACATACCTCCGGAACACTCCTCTCCCATCACTAACGAATACGGAGATAGAAAGACTGTCTGCCCCTATCACGACGGAGGAAATGGCAAACACACTAAAAACCATTAAACCCAACAAAAGCCCAGGACCGGATGGATTCACAGGTCTTTATTATAAGACATACGCAAGCACACTAATACCGCACCTCACAGCTCTAGGGAACTCACTCCTCCAAGGAAACCCACTCCCCAAAGAAATGCTCAGAACGAACATCTGCCTCATCCCAAAACCGGACAAAACACATCTCGACCCAGGCCACTTTAGACCCATCTCTCTACTCAACGTAGACACTAAAATAATCACCAAAACCCTAGCCAACCGGATCCAACTACTCCTACCGAAATTAATCCACCCTGACCAGGTAGGCTTCATCCCCACAAGACAGGCAGCAGACAACACGAGACGAACAATTGACTTGATCTGGGTAACACACAAAAGACAGTCCCCTACCCTCCTCTTATCAATGGATGCTGAAAAAGCATTTGACCGATTGCTCTGGCCATTCCTGTTTGCCACCCTCCAGAAATTCAAATTCCCGACCCCCATTCTAGACGCCCTGAAAGCCCTCTATGACCAGCCCACGGCCACACTTCTTATCCCCAATACTAAACACCCAGAATTTGTAATCAAAAACGGGACGAGGCAAGGCTGCCCACTCTCACCACTCTTATTTGCCCTTTCGCTTGAACCTCTTCTCCAAAACATACGAAATGATCAGACAATACAGGGCATTAAGATAAGATCAGAAGAATACAAAATAGCGGCATATGCTGACGACATCCTCCTCACACTCTCAGACCCCATCCAATCTTTACCACCCCTACTAACACTCCTACAACAATACGCAACCCTCTCGGGATACAAACTAAACCTGGAGAAAACAGAGGCCCTTCCGATAGCAATACCACAACACACCCTGGAACAACTACAACTAACCCATCCATTCAAATACAACCTAAGCAATATACGATACCTAGGAACATATCTCCCAGCAGACCTGAACACATTATATGCCCTGAACTACACACCACTACTCCACCAAGCACAATTAGATCTGCAAAAATGGGGACCTATGTCCATATCCTGGATAGGACGCATAGCCTCAATAAAAATGAATCTCCTCCCCCGATTCCTCTATCTCTTCCAAACACTACCAATACCCATTTCCAAACACGACTTTAAAACGCTCCAGGTACACATAGACAGATTTATCTGGTCAAACAGGAGACCGCGCATAAAAAGATCCACAATGTACAAAACCACAAAATCAGGAGGCCTGGGCCTCCCGAACTTCTACCATTACTACCAAGCGGCCCAACTGGCCCAAATACAACAACTGCACGCACCACCAGGATTCAAGCTCTGGGTAGACCTAGAGCACGATCTCCTGGGACGAGACCACCCATCACTACTTTTTTGGCTGCCCAAGAAGGACAGACCACCCACGCCACTAACCACCCCTACATTAACCACATCTTTTCTCATTTGGGACGACATCACATCAAAACATCCCATAATCAACAACCCATCGCCCCTCACACCTATCCTAAGAAACAAGCAATTTCCCCCGGGCCTAACTCCCAAAGACTTCTCACGATTTGAGGACAATGGACTATTACGATTCCTACACTTTTTCCAAGGCCAACAACTCTGCCCCTTCCAGGACCTCCCCAAACAAACACCCCTGACCACATTCGATCACTTCCGCTACATACAGATTCGCAGCTTTCTCAACGAACCACAAAATAGGACGGCCGCCACTACCAAACCAACACAATTCGAAAATACATGCCTCCACGCACCCATACAGAAAGGACAAATCACAAAAATATACTCACTCCTAAACTCAAACTCCCCAGAGGACGCACTCTCCTACACCAAGGCCTGGGAAAGAGATATAGGCCCCCCCGCAGACCCTACAGACTGGGCAGACATATGGGAAGCCACGGCCTCACTTACCATTTGCGTTAATCATAAAGAACAAGCCTATAAAACCCTACTCAGATGGTACCTCACACCGCTCAGACTGAAACAAATGGGCCTCGCCACCACAGACACCTGCTGGAAAGGCTGCACACAGAAGGGCACTTACATTCACCTCTGGTGGGAATGTCCCCAAGTCCTACAAATATGGGAAAGAGTGAGCACGCTCGCGTCAGACATATTAGAAACAGATATCCCAAGAGACCCCTGGATATGGCTGCTCTCAAAACCCCACCCTCCCCTCACCAGAGCGCAAAATAAACTAGTGGCCAGATTAGCGTTAGCTACCAGAAGAACAAT